TGAGGGGTATGGCGCCTGTGGCTTTGGCGATGTCCTCCTCAAACGAGTAGCTCTCCTTGCTGCCCACACTGGCTTGCACAAGGAGGGAGGGGGGAAAAGGGGGAAGGATCTCTTGAGATGTCACAGGGTCGAAGGTGAGGGGTATGGCGCCTGTGGCTTTGGCGATATCCTCCTCAAACGAGTAGCTCTCCTTGCTGCCCACACTGTGGGGATGGGAGGGAAGGGGGAGGGTGGGAAAGGGGGGGATGCAGGGGAAAGAAAGCAGGGGAAGGGTCAGCATGCGTTGCGGTGCCTCGTGGGAGATGAAAGGGCCGAAGGTGAGGGGGATGGCGCCTGTGGCTTTGGCGATATCCTCCTCAAACGAGTAGCTCTCCTTGCTGCCCACACTGTGGGGATGGGAGGGAAGGGGGAGGGTGGGAAAGGGGGGGATGCAGGGGAAAGAAAGCAGGGGAAGGGTCAGCATGCGTTGCGGTGCCTCGTGGGAGATGAAAGGGCCGAAGGTGAGGGGGATGGCGCCTGTGGCTTTGGCGATATCCTCCTCAAACGAGTAGCTCTCCTTGCTGCCCACACTGTGGGGATGGGAGGGAAGGGGGAGGGTGGGAAAGGGGGGGATGCAGGGGAAAGAAAGCAGGGGAAGGGTCAGCATGCGTTGCGGTGCCTCGTGGGAGATGAAAGGGCCGAAGGTGAGGGGGATGGCGCCTGTGGCTTTGGCGATATCCTCCTCGCACGAGTAGCTCTCCTTGCTGCCCACACTGGCATTTGGGTGTGAGGGGAGTGGGGTGGATGGGGATGGAGGCGGAAGCAGGGGGAATAGGAAGGGAAGGGTGGTGCTGAGAAGGCAAGTGTCTCTTGGGAGATGAAAGGGTCAAAGGTGAACGGGGTAGCCCCTGTGGCTTTGGCGATATCTTCCTCGCACGAGTAGCTCTCCTTGCTGCCGATTTATGAGTCGACTCAAAAATCGGCCCCTGTGGCTTTGGCGATATCCTCTTCAAACGAGTAGCTCTCCTTGCTTGAGTAGCTCTCCTTGCTGCCCACACAGGCATTTGGGTGTGAGGGGAGCAGGAAAAACAAGAGCGGAAGGGTCTCTTGGGGAATGAATGGGTCGAAGGTGAGGGGTACGGCGCCTGTGGCTTTGGAAACATCCTCTTCAAACGAGTAGCTCTCCTTGCTGCCCACACTGGCTTGGACAAGAGGAGGAAGGTGTGGGGTGGAAAAGGTGGCGGGGGAGGGGGGGGTGGGGGGGGGGGGGGGGAACAGAGCTAGGGAAAAAGCAGTTCTCCTTGCGACGTGACTTGTGAGTCGACTCAAAAGTCACCTTGGAGAGGGTGGGGGAGGGAGGGGGGAGAAATTTCCTGCACGAACAGAGCTCGGGAAAAAGCAGTTCTTTTGAGGCGCCTCAAAAGTTGTCTGCACGAACAGAGCTCAGGAAAAAACAGTTCTTTTGAGGCGCCTCAAAAGTTGTCTGCACGAACAGAGCTCGGGAAAAAACAGTTCTCCTTGCTGCTCATACTCCCCCCCCAGCCAGCCTTTGGGGCGACTCAAAAGCCTTTGGCGCGACTCAAAAGCATTTTTCTGCACGAACAGGAACAAGCAGTTCTCCTTGCTGCTCATACTCCCCACCCAGCCAGCCACCCACGCACCCACCGAGACGCGTACACCGTCCCCCCCATTCCCCCCATACGCACACTCACACGCACCTGTGGAATACGGGTTTGGTTTGAAAGGCAGGTGGCAGCATGCAGACCCACTGGCGCAGAGCAAGATTGTAGGGGGGAATAGACACACTCCCCATTCCCCAAACCCCTTCTCCCCCACCCCCACACACGCACCTGTGCAACACGGGTTTGGTTTGGAAGGCCGTTGCCAGCATGCAGACCCACTGGCGCAGAGCATGTTTTGAGACGTCTCAAAACACTAGTTCAATCACGTGGCTTTTGAGACGTCTCAAAACACTAGTTCAATCACGTGGCTTTTGAGACGTCTCAAAACACTGGCGCAGAGCACGGTGGTTGGGGGGAAGAGACTCGTTCGACCCTCCCTTTTTGACCCACCACCCACCCACAGACACGTCAACACCCACCCCTCCCCAAACCCCCTCTCCGCCACCCCCACGCACGCACCTGTAGACTACAGGTTTGTTTTCGAAGGCAGTCGGCAGCATGCAGACCCACTGCAGTAGAACAAGAGGGAGAGAGGAGGAGCGGGGGGGAGAAGAGGGGGGGAGGATGGGGGGAGAATGAGGAAGGGGAAAGGGGTGGGTTGCCAACTGCCGGAGAACAAGAGGTGGGGAGGAGGAGCGGGGGGGAAGGGGGTGAGGTGGGGAGGACGAGGAAGGAAAAGGGGTGGGGTGCCAACTTCCGGAGAAGAAGAGTGTGGAGGGAGGGGAAGGTAGGATTGGGTGCACGAAGACAAAGCAGAAAGGAAGGGGGAATGGGAAGAGGGGATGGGGAATTGGGAATGGGAAGGGGACAAAAGACAGTGGGCGGCGAGGGAGGAGAGAGAAGGCAGGGGTGCATGGGAGCAATAGCCATAGTGAGGATAGCAGGAACCGGACAGCCACGTGAATGAAGTAGTGCTTTGAGACGCCTCAGCACACTACTTCAATGGCATGGGGAGCAATAGCTTTAGTGAAAATATCAGGAACGGACAGCACGGCCAGCTGATTCCCTTCCTCCCCACCCAGTACCCTCCCATCCCTCTCCCACTTCATTTCCCCTTTGCCCACTCTCGCACCCTCTCGACCCCAATTTTCCTTCCACTCCTCTTCCACCGTCCCCAGTGCCTTACCCTTTCCCATTCCCCTCTTCCACCCCTCCTTTCTCACCTTTCCGCCTTCCCCCCACACGCCAAGCCGTTGTTCGGGGGCAGGGGTACATGGGAGCGATGGCCTTAGTCAGCATGTCAGCAACGGACAGCACGGCTGGCTGCTTCCATGCCCCCCCTCACCCCAATTCCCTCCCAACTTTCGCATCCCACCCTACAATCTTTCTTTCCCACTAATTCTTCCTTCCCATCTCCTAACCCATCCTCCTCGCCTCACCTTTCCGCCTTCCCCCCACACGCCAATCCGTTGTTCGCGGGGGCAAGGGTACATGGGGGCGAGAGCCTTAGTCAGCATATCAGCAACGGACAGCACTGCCGGCTGGAGAAGACCGTTAAACGACGCCACGCGACGCGCCTTATTCGCCGCGTATGCCGCTTCCGCGCGGCACAGCTCGGAATCGAGATCGCTTTGCGCCTTAGCGTAGTATGGCTGTAACGCGGATAACCGGCCCGGGGAGTCGTCTGGAGCCTGTCGCTGAAGCTGCAGCTCCGAGTCGCATGATTGCGACGAGTTGTACTGAACGCCCAGGAATGCGACGACCAGCAACGCGCCTGCGACGATGTACGGATTCGCGCGTCGCTTCTGCGACTCGTGGCGACGCGGCGACGGCGACGGCGACTCGTTCGGGAGAGGGGCGCCCATTTTGTTTTCCCCAGCTGGAGCGATGGATTGCTTTCGTAAGGCCGATTGTTTCTCAATCAAAACACCAAATTGCCAGACTAAGTATGTTTTTTATGTGGAAACCAAACCAAACACCCGAATTTCAGATACTGCGTGAGGGATCGGGGAGGAATGGGACAAGGTAAGTAAAAGGTTCCTAACCCGCCTGAGCAAGAACCAAGCAAGGAGCAAGGATGAGATGCTAGGCGCATGTGACCCTGGGCCGTGTTTTACCCTTGCTCCCAGTAATAGGTGTATAGTACGTTTCAAAACGGTTGAGATATATGCGTAGCGTTGAGACCTGGAATATGAAGAACCGAGGACCTCAGAAAATGTACTCTGCGACACGCCCTGAGGAGAGGATGCATGCGCCATTCGCCAATCAGAATCAAGTACATCGCAGACAACAACACAAGCGATTCGCACTCAAAGGGAAGGTGTCAAGCGGTAACGAGCGACACTCAATCGAGGGGGCGAAGTCGGTAAAAACGAGCTTCCGTTGTGATGAGGTTGGCTTGTACAGATGAAATTGATTATTCCGTGACCGACATTCGTTACAAGAGTCACAGGTGCTTATAGTGTGGTGTGGAACTGATGGTATTTCGCAAAAATGATTCGCACACCCACCTGCAACACCCTTGAGGAGAGCATTCAGTTCTACCAAAACACCGACCTTGCGAGGACGTAATATCGAGGCAGCGTTTATGGGATCGCTCTGACACCGAAGAAGTGAAACAGGCCAGCTTGCCCTAAAGTCGCGCCGCATCGCATAAGTTTCTAAACTGTCTTCTTGGTTTTCTAAAATCAACTGATACTGAATTAGACCAGTCAATCCTAGTTGAGATTCGCCAGCAGTTCCGATCGGTCCAACCGTAGAGTGCGATTACTATGAAGAGACCAACGGAAGCCACCAGCCGCACCCACGACATGCTGCCTTCTAACCCTCCTGACACCTCCAACGAGCACACGGCGCTATCAATTAGCTTTTCAGACAATTACTCCCAACATCCAGAAACTTACCCTGATCACCATAACGGTGTCAGCGATGGCGAAAGCCATGGATTCAGCAGCAAGAAAAACAACACGTCTACAGTGATTAACTCTACTCCAAACCCAGATGCGGATCATGCCGATCGCTACTTGGTCAATCGAGTCGATCTCCCTCCCGTGAACCCTGGCGCGGGTAAATTCCCCTACTGCCTGGTCTGGACGCCGCTGCCAGTGATAGCGTGGCTCGTGCCGTTCATCGGCCACCTAGGGATTTGCCGGGAGGACGGCACCATTCTGGACTTTGCAGGGTCGTATTTCGTCTGCGTGGATAATTTCGCGTTTGGAGCTGCCTCGCGATACCTTCAGTTAGACCCAGCTAAGGTACGTGGATCCATCCCGTCCTTCCCTCTTCAGTGTATCCATCCCGTCCTTCCCTCTTCAGTGTATCCATCCCGTCCTTCCCTCTTCAGTGTATCCATCCCGTCCTTCCCTCTTCAGTGTATCCATCCCGTCCTTCCCTCTTCAGTGTATCCATCCCGTCCTTCCCTCTTCAGTGTATCCATCCCGTCCTTCCCTCTTCAGTGTATCCATCCCGTCCTTCCCTCTTCAGTGTATCCATCCCGTCCTTCCCTCTTCAGTGTATCCATCCCGTCCTTCCCTCTTCAGTGTATCCATCCCGTCTTTCCCTCTTCAGTGTATCCATCCCGTCCTTCCCTCTTCAGTGTATCCATCCCGTCCTTCCCTCTTCAGTGTATCCATCCCGTCCTTCCCTCTTCAGTGTATCCATCCCGTCCTTCCCTCTTCAGTGTATCCATCCCGTCCTTCCCTCTTCAGTGTATCCATCCCGTCCTTCCCTCTTCAGTGTATCCATCCCGTCCTTCCCTCTTCAGTGTATCCATCCCGTCCTTCCCTCTTCAGTGTATCCATCCCGTCCTTCCCTCTTCAGTGTATCCATCCCGTCCTTCCCTCTTCAGTGTATCCATCCCGTCCTTCCCTCTTCAGTGTATCCATCCCGTCCTTCCCTCTTCAGTGTATCCATCCCGTCCTTCCCTCTTCAGTGTATCCATCCCGTCCTTCCCTCTTCAGTGTATCCATCCCGTCCTTCCCTCTTCAGTGTATCCATCCCGTCCTTCCCTCTTCAGTGTATCCATCCCGTCCTTCCCTCTTCAGTGTATCCATCCCGTCCTTCCCTCTTCAGTGTATCCATCCCGTCCTTCCCTCTTCAGTGTATCCATCCCGTCCTTCCCTCTTCAGTGTATCCATCCCGTCCTTCCCTCTTCAGTGTATCCATCCCGTCCTTCCCTCTTCAGTGTATCCATCCCGTCCTTCCCTCTTCAGTGTATCCATCCCGTCCTTCCCTCTTCAGTGTATCCATCCCGTCCTTCCCTCTTCAGTGTATCCATCCCGTCCTTCCCTCTTCAGTGTATCCATCCCGTCCTTCCCTCTTCAGTGTATCCATCCCGTCCTTCCCTCTTCAGTGTATCCATCCCGTCCTTCCCTCTTCAGTGTATCCATCCCGTCCTTCCCTCTTCAGTGTATCCATCCCGTCCTTCCCTCTTCAGTGTATCCATCCCGTCCTTCCCTCTTCAGTGTATCCATCCCGTCCTTCCCTCTTCAGTGTATCCATCCCGTCCTTCCCTCTTCAGTGTATCCATCCCGTCCTTCCCTCTTCAGTGTATCCATCCCGTCCTTCCCTCTTCAGTGTATCCATCCCGTCCTTCCCTCTTCAGTGTATCCATCCCGTCCTTCCCTCTTCAGTGTATCCATCCCGTCCTTCCCTCTTCAGTGTATCCATCCCGTCCTTCCCTCTTCAGTGTATCCATCCCGTCCTTCCCTCTTCAGTGTATCCATCCCGTCCTTCCCTCTTCAGTGTATCCATCCCGTCCTTCCCTCTTCAGTGTATCCATCCCGTCCTTCCCTCTTCAGTGTATCCATCCCGTCCTTCCCTCTTCAGTGTATCCATCCCGTCCTTCCCTCTTCAGTGTATCCATCCCGTCCTTCCCTCTTCAGTGTATCCATCCCGTCCTTCCCTCTTCAGTGTATCCATCCCGTCCTTCCCTCTTCAGTGTATCCATCCCGTCCTTCCCTCTTCAGTGTATCCATCCCGTCCTTCCCTCTTCAGTGTATCCATCCCGTCCTTCCCTCTTCAGTGTATCCATCCCGTCCTTCCCTCTTCAGTGTATCCATCCCGTCCTTCCCTCTTCAGTGTATCCATCCCGTCCTTCCCTCTTCAGTGTATCCATCCCGTCCTTCCCTCTTCAGTGTATCCATCCCGTCCTTCCCTCTTCAGTGTATCCATCCCGTCCTTCCCTCTTCAGTGTATCCATCCCGTCCTTCCCTCTTCAGTGTATCCATCCCGTCCTTCCCTCTTCAGTGTATCCATCCCGTCCTTCCCTCTTCAGTGTATCCATCCCGTCCTTCCCTCTTCAGTGTATCCATCCCGTCCTTCCCTCTTCAGTGTATCCATCCCGTCCTTCCCTCTTCAGTGTATCCATCCCGTCCTTCCCTCTTCACTGCATCCTTCCCTTCCTTTCCTCTTCATTGCATCCTTCCTTCCCCTCCTTCCCACTGCGTTCCATCCTTACCCTCCTTCCCGCTTGCTTGTATCCTTCCCCTCCTTCCTTCTGCATTCCATCCCTCCCCGTCTTCCGTTCATTGCATCCTTCCCTTCCTTCCCACTGCGTTCCTTCCTATCCTTCCCCCCTCCTTCCTGCTGCATTTGATCCTTCCCCTCCTTCCCTCTGCGTTCCATCCTTCCCCTCCTCCTTCCCTCTTCATTGCATCCTTTCCCTCTTCCCTTCTGCGTGGTATCCTTCCTTTCTTCGCTTTGCATTGCATCCCTTCCCATCTTCTGTCTGGGCTGCATGCTCCCCTACCAGGCATGTCTGCCATCCAACTTGTCAGGGCACATCTGCAGCACGCCCTTTTTCCATGCAGACTATGGCACGTCTCAGAGCTGGGACCAGGCTTTAGCAGCAACAGTACGCACATATCAGCATGCTTTCTACAACATTTTCACCTCTAATTGCCATTCTTTTGTGGCTTGCTGCCTCAATCGGATGGCCTACAACGGAAGCGCGAATTGGAATGTGGTGGAGCTTGCTGCGCTTTTGTTTCTCAGTGGTAAATGGGTCAGTAACAGAGCAATGATAGGGGCATTTGCACCCTTCGTAATAGTGATGGTTCTCGGGATCTACTCGGCAGGACTTACGTTTGTTGTCTTCTGGTTGGGATTTTCAGCTCTTTTGGTTGGGTGGTTTGTTTTTGGAACATATGGATTCAAGGGCTTGGTGCGGAGCACTTGATAGTGTGATGTCTTGGGACGCAGAATCTACATTTCTGCAATTGTTACTAGTGCAAGTTTATTCATTGCGAAATTCAACTAGCTGAGATGTTTTCTACATATTTGGGACAGCCCACAAATCCACAGGTTCCTGAATGACGCGTGACCAGTGCTGACTCATTCACCCCTCTCAGATCGGTGCGTTCCACGCGTCACCCGCTCATTTCTTCTCTCCAGATCGCCAGCATTTCACTCTGGCACTTTCAGTCCCTGTCAGCATGCGATTCGTAAACCCCAAATGCAGCAATTTTTCGCACCCACACCCTCTCCACTCCGCTCCCTCGCCCACAGAGCAACCTTGTGGAGCTGGATATATCTCAACCAGACCATGACATTTGATTACTAAAAAAACGTCTATCTAGTGGTCTTGGTTCTACATATCTTACACCTGATTCCGAGGCTGTCAGGAACTTTCTTTGGCTTATTTTCTTCCTGCTCGACCGGTCCACATCGTTTCTCGTCGAGATGGCACAGGCAGTCGCCACTCCCCATCCGCGTTGTGAATCCCTTTCCGTTTCTCGCGCAGCGACCAGCACCAGCAAGAAAACGGTGCAGCTAGTTTCTCCCGCGTCTAGCTCCTTTAGCCTGTCGCAAGCCTCAGTTGGGCGATTCGTTTTAACGAGTGGGAGGCAGTCACGGAGCCTCTCCTTCAGTCGGGTGGCTCGGCGCGCTGTTGTTCGTTCCCAAGCGACCACCGAAGGTGAGGATTGCATTGTGTTCCAGTTATCATGACGAATTTCTTACAGAAGCTATCGCACACAAAGTTTCACACATTAATTGCTTGATGTACTGCTACTTTCTGCTTAGAAAAACTCAGGTAAGTAGTGCCTTGAGACGGGCGAGATTATGGAGAAGCGTGACTGTCAGAACTGGATGAATGTGGACACACGAATTGTAAAAATTGGTTGAATGTGACCTTTCGATACGAGGGATTATGTTTTGTAGGCAAGCAAGCCAAGCGTCTGTCACAACCACTGTGTCCATATAAAGCATGCCACATTTTTCATGACCTCACTGTTTTCCAAGCTATGATCTCACTCGGATAAACAAGTTTTGATGTCTGTTTCCTGATGTGCGCGGCATATTATAGCCTTTCTCTTCATCCCCAACTACCAACATATCGCCCCCTTTTATCTCCCAACAGAAGCACCCATTGCATTTCAAATCGGTGAAACGAGTCTCTCCATTCCTTTCTCTGTGGAGAAAGCCAAGGCTCTCGACGCTGCTATATCCACCCTCCTGCAAACCTTCCGGGAGAAGGAGAAGGCAACCCGACCACAGAGATGGACCACGATGGAGTTTCGCCACGCTGGGGATGTCAGTAACGGGGATGTTTTTATCGAGATATTCTGCAACCCTAACGCGTACGCGAATGCATTTCAGGCTAAGGCGCTGATTACAGTGAAGGATGACCGAATGAAGTTTACTTCGGAAGGTGCTTTGAGCGCCATCAAGGCGAACGTAGATGAGTACTTGATGCGGAATGCTTGAGGGCTAGTGAATTGCCTGTCCTCAACAATGGCCCCGTGGGCGCAAGGCTGGAAGTCCAAGAAGCAGTGCAAACCTTATTTTTCAGCTCTTGCATGCACTTAAGTGCGGACCAATTCATGTGCCCAGAGGTTTGTATCCAGACCTGACCAAGTACCGTAGACCATCTTGCAGATTTGAAGACAAAGTAATCCAGCTTGCTTTTGCTGGATAGAACATGGTATTGGACAGCCAGGACTGGCAACTAGCACAAGAATTGTAGTGGAGACATGCATTGACAGCTGCCAGTGCCCCCAGTAACATCATCATCAGCATACTCTTAGCTTGCTGGATATATGTTTGTTCATACAGTAAAGTACTCTGCCTTCCTATCCTTATGACAAAACATGATTTATTCTGAAGCAGGATGCACACAGGGAATATCGTCTCTTGATTGTCACTTTTCTGTTCCTATACCAATGACCGAAGTGGGCCAATGCTGATCAAATGTGCCTTTTTGTACTTCGTAATGAACTGCGTAACGCAGCTGGCATTTCGCTACGGAAACAAATTTTGACTCTTGGGACTGAACTTGCGCTCGCAGGGGTCAGACTGCCCCTTCCAAACCTGTGTCGCTGCCTCCCCAAACGGATGTGCTGTCAAGATTTCCGCCCTGAATTTCAAATTCGAACAATTCCTCTGAGAAATCCACCTCAGTCAGGGCCTGCATGTTGATTTTGCCGTGACAAGCTGGCTCCTTTCACGTGCACTGACTTATTCCTTGTAGAACACGTACAGCGTCAGCCGCCATTGAAGCGCCGGGGAGTGGTGTCGAAGGCAAGGCAATCTGAAAGGAGATTGCAACAGCAATCCAGTAAAGCGATATGTTCTCGTTATTGAGCTCAACCCGCCGCCATTGAAGCCTGCATAACGTTCGAGCAATCTAGTCCACCGCTCAGACTCGAACTGATTAGGATTTTGCAGCCGTGATCTGCAGAGAGCTGCCATGTGCCGTCCTCGTTTTCCAAGTATTTCCTCGGACGGAGAATCTGGCAATATACTGTTGCCTGCAGGCATAGCCATCATGATTCAAGCTCCATTGTCACATAGCGGGGAAACAAGAATCACCCTTCAGAACCTGTGCACCATGAGGCCCTTTCTTAGTCCTGTCCTGTGCAAATCCCGAAGGCCGCACAGAGGTCGCTGTTAACTTGTGATCGAAGGAACCCTTGGTACCCATTTCGATTGCGCATGCGAGCCTTAAATTCCTCTCTTGCGAGTGTGGCTGCGTGTATTAGGAAGCTTGATTCCTGCTACCGTTGCGCTTAGAGAGGCTCCAGGTCAATCTTGCCTTCAGAGTTATTGCAGGGAGGAATCGGAGGATGCGTCCGCGGGACTCTACATCGGTTGAGATTCACCAAAGTCGGTGCGACTGGCTTTTCGCTAGCTGTTGTGCGCGATAGCTCAGTACGGATGCTCACAATGCGTTCGTTTGTTTCTTTTTGCAGATGGCGTGGTTCAAAGTCCACCTCGCGTGCCACGGCGTAGGTTTCAGCCAAAAATCTGGGTGAAGCTGACCTTTTTCGTGGGTGCTCTGGTTCTGATCTGTTCGGTGATTCCCGCCATCGTTGCTAGCCTTTGGCAAGAACAGGTACACCTCTATGAATGACTGGTTTCTTAAGCTTACACCCGCTGCAACTGGTGTTTGTTATTCTAATGCCGTGCTGTGATCTGGCAGATCCTCAGCTACATCACGGGAAATCAGGACACGGTGAAACTGATCGCATCTCGTGTTGTCATTTCATCTTGCTTCTAAAACACATGCAAGGGGAGGTGAAACTTACAAGGAGTAACGTCAAAGAGGGCACCGAGGATCTTAACTCTGCCGTAATGAGTGCAGCTAGTGTCATGTCCTTAGGAGCTTACAGCGATGATGGCGGACTTCTGTTCTTCAGCACGCATCCAGCCGATGTGAAACCACTGCCGAAACGCTTGCATGGACGAGCTCTGAGTGTCAGGAACCGAAACACGTCAGTGTGGTCCGGGATTCCATACACGGGGAACAATCATACGCTGCTCATTGATGTTGCAGCTCCCGTTTACCACCAGGTGTTAGAATCTAGCAGCAGGAATGAACTATGGAAGAGTTGGGTACAAATATGAAACCCTAAAGTGGGTTGTACCCCATATTGGCTACCCCACTACAGCCTAAACATGCATAGTAGATATAACGTTTGACACACCCCCATAGGCAAAGTGGGGGAGAACAAGGGGTCACAAGACCAGTCAAGAGAAGCAAAGCAAGCTCAGGGTGGATCACAACGTCACCACACACACTGAGCACAAGCAGAGGGCCACAAGGCCAGTTCACATGCAGAGGTATATATGCAACAATAACAGCATAGTGATCTCTACCTAGCAGAGCATGCATGCAGGTATATATATAGATCACAGTACAAGCAAAGTCTACAGCAAGTGAGGAAATGTGGGCACAAGGCCTAACAAAGTGCAGAAATGCTGATGATCACCAGACGGAAGTGCCTTGGTGAATATATCAGCAGTGTTGGCCCGAGTGGCCACGTGAGCGAGACGAAGCTGACCACGCTGCTGCAATTCTCGAGCCAGGAAGTAACGCAGAGCGATGTGTTTCGTTCTGTGCTCCAGTCTGTGCTCCTGACACAATGCAATGGCGGCCTTGTTGTTTACGTACAGCACTGGAGGAGAACGAGGCTGCTCTCCCGGGTCGGTCAGCAGGTAGGTGAGCCAGCGGAGCTCCTGTGCAGCCATGTCTGTGGCGTAGATCTCAGCCTCACAATTGGAGCCGAGAACAGAGGACGAGCGTGTAGACCGCCAAGAAATAGAGCCAGAGCCAAGGCTGAAGGTGTAACCCTGTGACGACCGCTACGTAGCCAGGTCGTCAACCTAAGAAGCGTCCGAGTGCCCAGTGAGGACAACGTCATCCCGTCCTCCAAGCACCAGCCCCATGCCCGATGTACTGCACAAGTAGCGCAGTACCCTCTTAGCAGCATCCATGTGCACCTTTCGGTGCCTACCAGGAGCCACGTAGCGAGCCAGAAGGCCAAGAGGGTACGCAAGGTCAGGACGAGTGCAGGTCATCAGGTACATGAGGCAGCCCACTAGCTCTGGGTAAGGACCACTTGGCTCTACGGACTCGTACGAAGGTGGAGCTGAGATCGAGTAACCTGTAGCCAGAG